TATATTAATTATATTAATATTGATGATAATTGTATAATTATTAATAATTGAATAACTTAATGAATGAATTAAATGATTCAATACAAAATAACAATAATATATTATTAAGTATTTTGATAACATATTATAATTAATGATTATATGATTATTTATATATATATTTTATCAATATTTAGAATATTAATGTTTAATAATATTAGAATAGAAATAACATATTTTTAAATTTATTTTGTAATGATAATGAATATAATTATTTCAATGTTCAATATACTTTATATCTATATCTGTTTATTAATTAATTTCATTATATATTTTATTAATAACTTATATTCAATTATTAATGAATACCAATTAATTATAATAACTATTATATTATTAAATCATTATTCTTTCCTAATTAATTTACTATAATATTATATCATAATAAATCAATGATAATAAATGATAAAGTTAACAAAAATATGTTGAACAATATAATTTCTAATCATTCTTATTATTTCAAATATAATATGATGTATTAGTTATAGTAAGTGTATTTGAATATTCATCTTTCTAATAACTCTTTTGAAATGAAGATATTTTATTCTTCATTGTATTATTATATTTGATAATTATAATTATTTAGTAATTAATTTTTCATCATTATGAAGTAATATAATGACTAATGTTTCAATTAATGAATTGATTAAACTTATTTCTATTCAATAAGAAATAATTGGGTATTTATTATTCTATAAGTCAGGAATATTTCTTTATTTTAATTTTATCTCTTTTAATTCTCTTTTCATTTTCATCAAATAATGATACGTAACATTGACAGGATTAAAAAGGTATTAAATTAAAACACCATATGATTCAATAAGTTCTAATAGTCTAATATTTGTATTCATTTAATAATTTATATTTTTATAACATAACATTTTCTTTTTTGTGTTTTTGTTATTCTAAAAATAAATTATCAATTCTATTTTTGGAAATTGGGATTGAAAATAAAAAGTAGATAATTTAGTGATAATAGAAATATTTTTTATTGTTCATTGTTCAAGAGGGATTATTAATCCTGTCCTTTGCTTTAAAAGTCTTTGTTTATCAGTTATTAGTTTATTATTAGCTTTTAGTTGTTGAATTATGATAATTTCCTTTTCTCTTTTATTTAATGTACAATAAAGTATTTTAAACATCAATTATTTAAATATTCATTATTTAATTTCTATTTAATTTTGATGAGTATTAAAATTCTGATTTACTTTCTTATTTTAAGGAGAATATATGATTACTACTATATTACTATGGAATAATATTCTTTTTTAGCATCAACCACCAAACCCCTTTTCTTTAATAATCTTATATTATCAAATACACTTGTATTCTAACACATAATAATAATAACATCTTTATAAATACTCATTTTTTATTATCAATGATATCCCATCATTGTAAATAATAAACACTGATTCTTATAGTATTGATTAAGATGTTTTTCAACCAAATACAACACTACAATCAGTCTATAATTAATAATTCAATGATTTGATTCATTTTATGGAACTGTGTGATGCCTCTGACTTGCTACCTTCGAATAAATTTTTATATAAAAAATAAAAATAAATAAGAAAAATAATTTATTTCCATGTTAAAACAACTAATCTCTTTAAACCAAAATGAGATGGAAAAACAATTTTAGTAAAAAGTTTTCCATCTTTTCCAACAGTGTCATTATACATTTCATTAAATGATTTACCACTCCATCCTCTAGAGTTAATATAACAGTGTTTATTTGTAGAAATATGACAAAAAGATTGTATACAAAATAACCCAGGAGTAGATTTATAAACCCATAATGGATAACATTCATCAATAATAGGAGTAAATTTAATTGGTTTAGTTCCGTATGGATTTAACAAAGAAAATACAAAATGGTTTTTATCTCTTATTACCCATTGACTTGGTTTTGGTGGAATTATTGTATGATATGATCCAAATATATTTCCACCATCAGTTTCAATAACAAACATTAAATTATTAAGGTTTTTACCTTTTGAAATAATCACTTCATTAAAATTATCATTAATATTAGAATCATAAATAATATTAGAAACTGTTTTATTTGTCCATTCTGATAATTGTTTTAAATACTGATTTAATCCAGGGTTTCGCTTTTCAGCCCAAAGGTTTTGAAGTTCTGTACTTTCTTCTTGTATCCATCCATTCAAACTATTTTTATAATTTTCTGTTAATTGTTTAACTCGTACAATGTCATTTTCTATTAATTTTAAATCATTATTGAAGTTTAAACTAATATTTTTTTCTATTTCATTATTAGTACTTGTCAATGTAGTAATTGTTATTTTGTTATTGTTAAAGTTGATAGTTCCTTGATTCGTAAGTTGTGAGATTTTAATCATTACCCATTAATAGTTCTTCTTCATACCAATACAAATTATAGTTTAAATATTATTTATTTATTGATTCTTTTAATTTTTAATATAATAAAAATTGCTTGATACAGGGTTATGGTAATGAAATAAAACTACCAAAAATTCACTTAATATTTATGTATTGAAGAACTTTATTTTTTTATTTTAAATCACTTCCAATATTAATGACAACTAATGACATGAACAAAGAAGATAGTAAGTTTTTATTTTATAGAGAAAAGTTAGGAAACCCTCAACACATATTAGCGCCAATGGTAGATGGATCTGATTTAACGTTTAGGATTTTAGTAAGAAGACATGGTGTAAACTTGTGTTATACTCCAATGGTGTTATCAAAAATGTTTGTTGAATCAAAAGTGTATAGAAATGAAGTTGTTAATTCTCTTGATCCAAAAGAACGACCAATAATAATTCAAGTTGTTGGAAGTGATGCAAATGAGATGGCTCGTACAGCAAAATTCCTTCAAAGTTATTGTGATGCGATTGATATTAATTTAGGTTGTCCACAAAAAATTGCTCAGAAAGGGAATTATGGAGCATATCTTGCATTAGACTTTGACCATACTAAAGAAATAGTTAATGCAGTTATTGAAGCAGTCAATATTCCTGTATATTGTAAGGTTAGAGTATTTGAAGATGAAGATAAAACAATGAAATTTGTAGAAATGTTACAAGAGTGTGGGATATGGGGAATAGCTGTTCATGGAAGGACTATCAATGAAAAACAAAGTATGAACTATCATGCTAGATGGAATTATATTGCAAAAATAAAAGAACAGTTAAAAATCCCTGTCATTGCAAATGGAGAGATGAGAAGTAGAGAGAAAATAGAAGAGTGTAAAAAAGTTACTCATTCAGATGGATATATGATTGGTTTTGGATTATTAATGAACCCTGGAATGTGTGAAGGTATTATTGATAATAATGAACAAATAGCAGAAGAATATATTAATATTGTATTTGAATATAAAGACAAGAACTTGGTCAGACTTTCTGATGTTAAAGGTCATTTAATTAAAATGATGTTGTACAAAATTAAACAAAAGAAAGACTTATTAAAAGAAATTGGTGAGGCTCGTTCTTTCGAAGAATGCAAAACATGGCTTGAAAAAGTAATAGAATTAAATAGAAAAAGGAGTATTGAAACATCTGAGAATGATAAAGAAACTAAAAAAGATATTATTTAATAATTGAATTGTTTAATTTACAAAATAAATTTCTGATGTTTCTTTTAGTTTTTGTTCAATCCCATATTATAATAATATATCAATCCAGTAGATACTATGGGGCATTAATAAATTAATTACTTTAATATTTTTTACGAATTTAATTTATGAACATCTGTTTTAATTGAAAATATTATTAGACTAACTTTCAGAAGGAAAGTGCTCTTTTATGTTTGTTTTAAATGATCTTCATTCTGTAATAAAAAAGAGATACTTGTTAAACGTTAAATTTATTCAAATGTTAGGTTTTAATTATTTTGTTTAGTTATTTAAAAGGTGATTTTGAGAAAAACTAACTTTTTTGTATTTATCTGAAAATGGTATTGTTCTTTGATAGAATTTTATATGAACCAAAGTTAACTTTTCTGGTCTTTAAATTTATTATAATTTTTACAATTAATTTCCTTTTAATGCACCAAGGTTCTTCTTTTGTTTTAGATAAATTCTTATTTAACCATACCAATATTGCAAAATATTTTCAATTGAATATGTGATTGTTGAATAAAAATAATTTTTTGTACAGTTTCTGATGTGGTGTTGAACCTCTTGGTTATTCTCAGAAATATGCTAAGCTTTAATTAGGTCTACAAATATATTTTAAAGAATTAACTGTACAATAAATAATTGGATTGTCTTCATATTGAGAAGTGGTTACTCAAGCTTCTTCAATACACTCTTCTTCTATCATAGAGTTTATTTATATCATGAGCAAATTCGAAGATTTCTCTTTTAATGTACAGCTAGAATTGGATGTATAAATCATCAGATATTTCATCTTTTTAATATTAATTGTTTGTAATCTGTTGAAATGTATTTCACAAATAATTAATAAGCACTAAAACACATTAGAAATAGTGTAGAAATTTTAAAAGAAGGAAAAGAGACCAAAATAAGGTTATAAAAAATTGAAAATATATGAATACTCTTAAAAAAACTAGATAACAGGTAAAGAGGGAAGTAAAAACAAAGAAGTTGATGGAAAAAATTAATAATAAGTGGTTGTGTAGAGAATAAAAATAGTCTCAATAACAAAAATGAAAACAAAAGAAGAAGAAAAGAATAGTTTGATAGAAGACGAAATTAAAAGTTGATAGTTCGATGTGTGTGTATGTCATTGATTACCAACCAAAAGTAATGTCGATTGAAGAGTATGAAAGTATATCAGAAAAGGAAAATAATTATATAAATAGTATTGATAATGAAGATTATATAGATGAAGCAATATATCAGAAATAATGACAGAAACAATAAGCGAAGAAAGTAAAAGATTTGCAGAAACTTTAAGAGAAGAAATTAAAAGACTAAAAACGAGAATAAAGTAGGAAGATGGAAATGTTTTATAAAGGATAATACATTTCTTTAAAAAAAATATATTTAATTCAAAATCCGTTAAATATATTTTATTTATGAATTAAACTAATTTATGTAAGTTTTATTTAATTATATTCAAAAATTAAATAAATATTAAAGGTGAATTGAATAATAAAATGACAAGCAATTAATTAAGTATTAATAGAACTTGTGTCTATTGTTCCTGGCTCAAGGGAGACTAATTTCGTCACTGAATCTTCGTTATGTAGTTCAACAACATATGTTTGGTTGTGGTAGAGGCAGTTTTCCATGACGTCCATCATGTTTTTAATTACAATGTTTTTGATTTCTTTAGTGATGTCTATTTCGATTTTTAATTCTTTTATTATTTTAATACTTTCAGCATTTATTAGCCCATTAATCGAAATTACTACTGCAATTATTTTGACATCTTTTAATTTCTCTATTTTAATTACCCTATTTTTTAATTCCTTATACATGTTTCTTTTCTTCCAATAGGCTCCATTAATATTATGATCTGCCACAATAGTCATATCAAATATTAGACCAGTTTTATTCTTCTTATCTAGTACATATATATCTGGTCTTTTATGATATAGTCCATCACTTTTTGGCATTATTTGTTTGTTCAATATCATAGTGATGTCATTGTATTGGAACATTGTTTCATATGGGGGTTTCTTGTATTGTTTATTTCCTGTGTATTTTCTTATTAACCCCTCCCATATGATGATGCCAATATGGTCATGTTTCTCCATTTGTGATTTCTTATGACCAATGCAAGATAGTAGAATGTGTTCTACTGTGGCTATCTTGTCTTTACAGAGTGGGCAGTACTTTAATCTTTCATTTTTTAATATTTTCGCTTTCCTGTACCCACTAAATATTGCTCCATCTTGCATTTTAGTTAATTGAAGAAATACATTTTTCTTTATATTGATGGACTTCCATGCATTTATTGTAGTAGTTTTATCTATCAATTTTGACTAGAACCATCTTCTAAAATGTCCACTTGTTTGATTTCCATTTTTTGATGTATTTGTTGGTCATTAATTTCTTTATTTTTAATACTACTTCTTTTTCTTTTTTATTTTCAATCCCTTCATTTAATATTTCTTCTATTTTCGTTTCTGTGATCTTATGACTTAGGGCTTTTTTAATTCTATTCAATATTCCTTTCTTGGAATACCATCTATCTATTATGTTATTTCTTATTTCACTCTTGTACAATAGTACATTACTGTTCTGATTATTTCATTAACATATTCATCCATTAGGCTTATTAATCCTTCACCCATTTCATTTATATGACATATAGACGGTCTTTTGAGTTACAACTAATGTATTTTGCCTTTCTTAAATATTTTCTTATCTCCAAATCCATTCTATCTATGTTACATTCCAATTTACTATTGATGCTGAATATCTTCAGATGGGTATTACTTCAGTATTAATTCTTGTAATATATCTTCTATTACTACTTTCATCGCTATTTATTTCTTCCATTTTCATCATCATCTTTTATTTGATGATTTTACAATTGAAGGTATCATTAATTTCATCGGACTGACATACACCTAAATATTTATACAAATCCTCTCCTTCAATTAATGTGATGTTTTGCATTCCATCTGGTATTTTATTAATGTTCTTTAATACCATTCCTGATTTCTTCTCATTCATTTCCATCCTTATTCCACTTATTATTTGTTTAATTTCATTGTGGATTGTTCCCATTTCTTCACTACTTTGTGTCATTATTCTCAAATCATCCATATACAATGTATGGTTTGATTTTGGGAACTTCTCTTCTATGATTTGAGAAATTATATTCATTTGGATGATGAAGAGTAGAAATGATAATGAATCACCTTGTAAAATTCATCAATTTAATACATCCTAGATATTCATTATATTTATATCATATGAATATCTTCCATCTATTCATCATACTTTCTACAATGTCTATGATGACACCCTCTACATTAAAATATTTAAGTGCTTCTATTACCAATTCATGATTTACTGAGTCATATGCTTTCTTAATGTCATAAAATGACTCTACATATTTTGTGTATTTCTCTTCTTTTTGCTGTTTTAACATATAACTGTTAATTAACCCTTCTTTAGCAGCAAGAGATTGCAGTTTACATCCCAATTGATTTTTACTAATTTTTAGTGATTCACTATTCATGTTAATTCTATTGTGAATCTTCTCTTTCAATATGGAGGTAAATACTTTCATAATTACATTTGTACAACTGATAGGACGATAATTAGTGACATCGTTCATATCACCTCCTTTGTGGATTAGTATAGTTCTTCCACTTACCATGTCTAGAGGGATGTTTTCTGGGAAGTTTAACCATTCATTGAAGATATTAAGAATGGACTCTCTTGATGATGACATTCTCTTCTAATAATACCCATATATAGTGTCAATACCTGGTGATTTCCAATTACTTATTTTCATCAGGCTTAGATTTAGTTCATCCATTGTGATGATGACACTATTATAATTCCTGTATCTTTCATTCCACGAGGTGATTTGTTTTATTTTCCAATGTTCCTTATTTAATATCACCTGTGTTTCATATAACGATTTCCAATATTCTAAAGTAATATCGTTATTTGGGTATATTTCATTTTGTGGGTCTTTCTTCTTTATTTTGATTTTCTTATTAGAATCAAACATGATTTTATTTGTATTGATTCTGACAATTTCATTCTTATTAAATTTAATTCTTTCTTTAATCATTATCATCATATATTTTATGTACTTTATTCTTTCTTGTGCTTTCATTTTAATTTCATCTGCATCTTGTTCCTTCAATCTCATGATGCATTTTATTCTGTACCATTTCCTTGATTAGATATTCTAATCTATTTATTTTCCTTAGGATTTCTTTTATTTCATCAAATTTATCTCATTTAAATTTATTTTGGAGATAGTAATGCATGCACATTGAAATCCTTTTCATATCTTCTTGTAGATTTTCTATTCTGCTTCCTGACCATACTCATTTATTATTAATTTCTCTTATTAATTTATCTGATTCTTTCCTTTTCCAGTAGTAATTAATATTTACACATTTATCTATTTTCATTTCTTTAACTTGAATGATGATAGAGTTAAGATATTCATCATCAATATCAGTAGAGTTATTTTTTATGATAATGTTTTTATTATTGGATTACACTCTACTTTCTATGATGGAGTTCATTTCATTTTAATATATATTTTAGTTGTTTCTTTTATTTTATATGACTTTTTAATATTATTAATGTATTCTTTCTCATTATTTACATTATTATTTATTACTTTTATTATGTTTTCTATTTGTTCCCATCTTAATTTCTTATTTAATTTCTTATTTAACAAATTAATTGCAAATCAATACAACACATCAATTAAAATTCTATTTGTTTGATTTGTTGTGTTTTCTTTTCTTCTTGATTGATTATCATTTCTTGTTTTTTGATATTCAGTGTTTTGTTCTCTTCTATTTCCAAATTGTCTTTTTCATAGTTGTAGTTTTGTTCATTTGTATTATCCCAGATGATGATGTTCTCAGTATTTGTTGTGTATTTATCACTAGTGTCATTGTTTTCTTCTTCTTAATTTCTGAAATAAAAATAAACAATAATTTATTGATGATTTGATATTAATTGATTTTGTTCTTCATTTTCTCTTTGTGTATGGTCTAATTCTTCTTTTGTTTTTTCTGCAATCTCATATTTTCAGTCCCACTTTTTTGATATACAGAGATTTGTTTTTATTTATCTCTTATGTTCTTCTCTTTCTTCAGCTTCTCACAGCTAGCTCGGAGTGTGAGATGATTTCATCTTTCCTTCCTACTTCAGTGTTCCTTCTACTATTTGCTTCTTTTATTTTTCATTGTAATGAATTATTTTATTATTTTAATTTAGAGTTTTCTTATTTCATTACATGTAGTTTGAATATTGTTTATTTATGTTTGAATCTTTTCTATTTCTTCTTCAATCTCTTTTCTAATTGTGTCTCATGTTTTTTGAATTATTTCATTTGAAATGTTTCGTTCTTCTTTTTTGTTTGAAGTTCTTTAATAGTTTCTTCTATTTCTTTAATTTTATTTTGAAGTGTGTTGATTTCTTATTTGTTATATTCTTCTTCCTTTTTCTCTTCTTTATCTTGTGTTTTCCCTTTATTTTCTTTTTCATTTATTATTCTTGCAGCTTTACATCTATCATTTATTTCTTTGTTTCGATTTTTGTTTTTGATTTCTTCTTCGATTCTTTTGATATCATCATTGTCCAATCTTTTGTTTTATCTTTGATTTCTTCTTTGATTTTCTCTAGTGTTTTCTTCTTTCTTATTGAATATAATTCTTGGAGAATATTATACCATTTCTTTTCTTTACCATCATCCTTTTTAAGTATTTCTGTTTATTCTCCTTCCTCCCATTTTCTTGTTATTCTTTTAATTTTCATTTCAATTTCATTTATTGTTAATATTTCTTATTTGTATAATGTTTATTATCATTATATTTACTTTGTTTCTTATTTGTTTTTATTTGTGTTCTTCTTTTTCTATTCACTTTTCTCTTGTTATTTCTTTTATCATAATTATATGCATTTTATTGCTATTTCATTCTTTCTTTTCTTTGGACTTGAACATGTTTGTTGTTTGATTTTCTTTACAATACTCTATTACATTACTCAACAGCCATGGCAACAAAATTTGTTGTATATTCTGAATTGTTAAAAGGATCTATTGATCTCTTATTTCTTTATAAAAAAATAAATAATAAAAATAATAAAAAAAGTCAAGATTCATAAGTTAAAAATATTTTAATTTTAAATTTAAAATAAAAAGAAGAACTAATAAACAATAATAAATCAATAATGAAATTAGGATATAATGAAATAATGATAGTATCAATGTACTTTGATGATATTAATGATTTTATTAATTTAGAATTAGGAGTTAAAAGATTTCAAGGAAATATGGAACGATTTCATTTTAATCCAATTCCATTAGATGAGTATTCAAGAAAGTTCTTTCCTGGTATTGAAACATTTCATATTTATAATAGAAAAGATGAAATGTTTGGTGATGGAAAAATATTTAAATATGTAATATGGTATACAGTAAAATATTTAACGTATTTAAAAGAAAAGAAAAAAGGAAATATATGTAAAAATATAGAGTATACAAAATTTGATAGAAAGGAATATGGAAATATAATACCACCAGAAGTTAAATCACTTGAAAATGAATGTTTTAAATATTGTTATTCATTAACATCAATTAATATCCCAACATCAATTATTAAATTAGGATATGGATGTTTTTATGGATGTTCATCATTAAAATCAATTATTGTGCCAAAATCCGTTAGTGAAATAGGAAGTTATTGTTTTTCAGAATGTACATCATTAACATCAATTAATATACCGTCGTCTGTTAGTAAATTTGGAGATGAATGTTTTTACAAATGTTCATCATTAACATCAATCATTATACCTTCATCTATTACTTCATTTGGAAATAATTGTTTTTATGAATGTTCATCATTAATATCAATTAATATACCAACAGCAATTAGTGAAATAGGATATGGATGTTTTAGAGGATGTTCATCATTAACATCAATTAATATACCATCATCAATTAGTGAATTAAGAAATTATTGTTTTTCAGAATGTACATCATTAACATCAATTAATATACCATCATCTGTTAGTAAATTTGGAAATGAATGTTTTAATGGATGTTTATCATTAACATCAATTAATATACCTTCATCAATTAGTAAATTTGGAGATTGGTGTTTTAATAGATGTATATCATTAATATCAATTAATATACCATCATCTATTAATGAAATAGGAAATTGGTGTTTTCATTATTGTTCATCATTAACATCAATTAATATACCATTATCAATTAGTGAAATAGGAGATGGATGTTTTAAAGAATGTTCATCATTAATATCAATTAATATACCATCATCTGTTAGTAAATTTGGAGATGAATGTTTTTACAAATGTTTATCATTAACATCAATTAACATACCAACAACAATCACTTCATTTGGAAAATCTTGTTTTTATAAATGTGGGTGTGAAGATGAATTAAAGAAAAATAAAAAAATACCAAGAAATTGTTTTAAATGGTGATGAATGAAATAAAAATACAATAAATGAAATACAATATAAATTGAAGTAGAAATAAATTATAATTGATTATCATTTTTATGATTATTATTCTTTTCTTATTTATTCTTTTTGATATTATTCTTTTCCATCTTATTGATTGATATATCATTCTTTATATTTGTTTTATAATTCTTTTTTTATTCTTTATTTATTTTTATTCTTATTTTTATATTCTTATTCTTATCTTTCTTTTTTATTCTATTTCTTTATATCTTTTATTTTATATCTTTATTTTATTTTGTTTAAAAGTGTGTTGAAGCATTACAGGAGACATCACAAAAATTATAAAAAAATCAATAACAAAAGAAGGAGAAATCCATACCAATCAAGAAATATAAATGATAGAAGAATGAGTGAAAACACGTATTATCTGTATGGACAGAAATACATTAATCATCACATTAATCATTGCCATATTATTAACTATCACCATAACAATTATCATAACAGTTATAATAATAATGGTATGAATCGTTTCATTCATCACTTCATTCATTTTCATCATCATAAGTATTTTATCAATAATTCAAATACAAACAATCAATATTATAATACAAATAAATCACATAATAAAACACAACACAGATATAAACAATACCATAATAAAAAACAACGACAAATAAGAAATAAAAGAAAAGAAATGATAGAAATACAAAACCAAGAATATTGGAAAAGATTATTTGAAGAAGAAATTAAAATACTTACACCACAAGAAATAGAATAAATTAAGAACACTAAGATTAAAGAATATAATCAACAATAATGAGAAGATAGTATTTACTTGCAAGAGAACAAACAAAAATGAATAGAATGGAGAAACGATCAGTATGACACTTGAAGAAGATGACAAACTAAATCAAAATGAAATAAATGATAAATACTTAAATAAGAAATATACAATAATGAAAATGGTGATGAAAATGAATTTACTGAAG